ATATGTAGGTGGGGGTTTTTTTTATGACTGAAGAGTTTGGATATTACAGGCATAGCATTGCAAATGAGACCAAAAATATAGGTCTTTGGATTGTAAGCTCACAGATTTAAATTCATGCAAATGGGTACCCACTGAAATTTTTGAAGAGAATTAACAAATTTCCTCAAGTTTAAAGTACAATTGGTTTAAGATACATGATTACCATATATCAACTTACCAATTATAGAACACTAACTGCAAGATGCAGTGCATTGCAGAGATATTAAGATGTAAAAAGAAAAATGAGTAAAACGAAGCTTAGAATTGATAAAAATTGGCAGCAATGGCAGAAGCCTGTTAACTTTAGATAATCTCCCATAAAAAGCTTCATAAAATCTGCCTCCCATTTTTATATCTGTCTATAAAGCAAAGGATTGTATATCTTTGAAAAAGTGAAAATATACTTAATTTACATTGATTACATTGTAATATTTGTAATGGCACTTACTAGTTTTTGTAATTCAGGACATCACAAATGTAAGGAAGACAAGGACTTCAGAAGTATTTCAAGCACACCGGTTAATCACTAAGAAAATCATTTTCGCTCAAGGTGCCTATACTTTTTATCAGAAATCTAGTTTGTAAATGTGTGCTGGTTACCACAAAGCTATTAGAGAAAGCCCAGTTTCAAAGGTATGAAGTTAAAGAGGGGGGAGAGTTCATAGAGGTTGTAAACTCAAAACACCCCCAGTACATGTATGCCCCCCGACCCTCCTCACAGAGGGTCAGCTGGCTTCCACTTTCACATTCTTCCTTGCTAAGCTGTAAGCCCATGAGAGCAGAGATTCTTGTGTACCACTGTGGTGTGGCCTGGAATAATACACTGTAGCCAATAAATCGTTTTGAGTCAGTCAATGAGTATTCTTGTAAGGAAATGCACCACTCACACAGTGGTACCCAGCTTTGTAGAAGATCTTGAATCTGAGAAGTTTGTTTGAAGGGCAGTAAAAGCCACCTCTGGTGCCCCTGATAATGTCTGCCCCCTCTTCTTACATAAGCCTTGCAAATATGTGCAGGCAGTTTCTCCAAACTAAACTTACCTATTTCAGTCCACAGTTTACCATATCTCCTTGTTTCTAAGACTTTCTACTGTCCCCTATATGAGCTACATTTGGTCAGTTCTTTTTAAAAACTTTGTGGCACCCAGAATGAAATATATGTATGGTTATTTCCCGTATTACCCAGCCAGCCCAGAGGAGAGAGTTCTTTTACTAAATCTATGCAAATTTTTCAAACCTTGAGAAAGTTACATCAAATGGTATGATAACTCAGATAAGGGACCTTTAAGAAAACACCGAACACCATGAACTTCTCCCACAGGGCTTAATTCATCATTAGGGATACATCTGTAAGGGACTAGACTGCTAAGAGAAAGAGATTCATTATATTCCCCATACAATTAAAGCCATAGTAAAATATTTTGAGGAGTTTCTTTTTTGAATGAAGGCTAAGTAAGCATTCATTAAACCTGGGAAGTTCTAAGTCTTCCAATTTGCATAGTGAATTGAAACTGCAGTAGCCTGAATATGAATGGAGATGTGGTAATTCAGTAACATGAAATGGGAAGTGTAGTTTAATTACTCAACAGATTTTTTTGCACATAAATTGCTTCTACTTTTATGACAATAGTGGATTAAGAAACCCACTCACCTTAATGTTGGGTAATAAGACTTATAAAGCATGTCATAAAATTGCTGTGTTTGCAATACTGTTTTTAGAAACTATAATCTTATGGAAAAATCTTCCCATGATTAAAAGAATTTGTAGTTCTCCCAGAATCATAGAAAGTAAAAGATCCCCAAAAACTTAGGAAGTAAAGTTCTTCCCATCTTAGTTAATGAACTAAATGATTTCAGGGCAAGAAGGAGAAGTATTTCTCAAGTTGCTTCAAATCTATAGATCTGCAGCACAGCTCTTTAACGGTATGATAAAGTAGAATTTAATCTAGAAATGGGCCAAAACCTAAGTCTGAAAAAAGATATTGATTTGTGGTGAAAATCTGGGACCCATCAGTTTCAAGGAAAAACACTTTCTATGAAATTATATTTCTTCCATTTAGAGAAAAAAAATCGAAAGAATAAAAATTTCACCTTAGAAAACCAAAGTGTAAATTTTAAGAATTAATGGTAAATGAGAATTAAAGGAAGAATAGCAATCTAATTTTTTTACCCATTAGATTAGTGCAACATTTAAAAGACGAACATTCACAGCTAAAGAGGATAAGTCATCTTCAGACTTTGCACATTTAAATATAAATTGCTACAAATTGAAAGAAATGATCTGGAAATGTATGTGAAGATCTAAAATGTGAATAGTTTTGACCTATTAATCTATAAAATAAAATATTATTCATCTAAGAATGTATGAATTAGATGTTGATGTTAAGACTGGAGGGATGTCCTTGAGTTAATATCGATTACCTCATGGTAGGGACAGTGCTAAGACATTGTTTGAAAGGAGGCTTCAGAGCACCTTGATCTACATTAGTTCACTCAAAAAACACTCTACATAAACATAAAAAGAAGCAAAAACATCGTGTATGCTATTTGCATACCACTCCAGAGAAGTCTCCCCACCCTCACCCATCAAGTCATAACACTTCAACATTCCTCTATGGAAATTCTGAAGTTGGCGTAGCTTTGGGAAAGTGAAGCAAGAAAGAATTTGTATTTTGTATAAATATTTTTAACTTTTTAAACTGGTAATACTTTTAGAATTTAAAATGAAATTCTAAAAACCAAATAAGTTGTGGTGGAAATATTTAGGAATTTACACTGTGGAATGTGGTATTTTTTTCAGGAAAGAAAGTAGTTGTAATTATAACGAATAATGGAAATGTTACTTTTCTTTTCATCACTTTGTTCAGTCCATGTTACTTTATAGTCTTTCTTGGCATTTTTCTTTGTGTCAGAACCATATCCAAAATCTAGACCTTGTTAGCTCTGTCAGGACTAGCAAGGCTCAGAGTGCTTTTCCAAATCATTGTATAATCGCTGCTTTTTCATCCTCTCTTCAGTTTATTTATCTGAATTGGTCCTCTACATACCATATTTCTCACACAAAGATTCTAGCCACTAACATAATGACTAACAGGACCTTATTAAGAATTAGTTTTCTAGGAGTTAGGATGAACGTTTACAAACTATCAGTCTTTCATTACCAAGATCATTTGTCTTTATAATCAAAAGGATCTGGTGGAATAATGTTTTCTCTGTGAGAAGTTAACTTAGATAACTTCAACTTCCACACATGCAGAGAAATTAAGAGGTTTATGGACACATAGCATCTTGTTCATACTTGCATGTTATCAGTGTGTACTTTGTGACTATGTCCCTATAAATCTAAGCTTCAGGAAGGCAACTGTATCTTTTATTTCATTATTTTTAGTGTCTAGCAGAGGGCTAACATAATATGTTCTAATAAATGTTCATTGGACGAATAAAAGTACAAATAACTTGACATCTAGTGAACCCCAATTTAGTCAAAGAACATAATGTTGCTAACTTCTCAAAGTCTAGTTTACCTCTTGAGTGAAATAAGAATAACAGCATTGCTCTGCGTACCAACTTTCAACGCTGACTGTGAGAATCAGATAAGGTAACTCAAGTGAAAATAATTCATGAACTACAAAGTACTATGGAAGTGAGAACTCCATTGAGAAGATTATTGAAATAGGTCAACTTTAAATTGATGGGTCTTTTAAACAGATATTCATAAAAAGTTTCACAAATCCACTACTGAATAGAACCAGAGTCTTAAAAATATAAATTTGAGGGTTCTCATACTTAATCACACAAAGTTAAAAATCTAGAGCTTGGTGAATTCATTTTAATCCACTTTAGGGTTACGTTCGATTTTTCTTGTTTCTTCATCTACTTTGAACCCTTGCAATCAGACACTTGAGACACAGTTTCAGTGAACCTCATGGGTCAAATGACTCAAAACCAATACTTTAGAAGTATTTGTGTAAATAATAAACAATCTAATTATATCATTTACTATATTAAAATACGTCACATAGCATGAAATAAGTCAAGGAGGTGTTTTTCTAACTTTGACATGGTGACTTCCTATTTCTGTAAAATTCTCTAGCGAAGATTGCCTGGCACAGAATGGAGGAGGGGTACTTGCTCTAAGGTAACTTCACAGGCTGTAGAGTCACTAATTCACCTGCACATGAACTTGGGCCAGATTCTTCCTTTCTGTTTGCTTTAGTTTTACTCATTCTTTCTAAATTCAAAGGCAGTAAACTATGGTGTCTCTGACATCACTTCCTTTTCTAATATTTTAAGTTGTTGTAATTTAATTCTACCACTTTCCAGTTATAATTCTAATTAAAATTGGAAAAAGAAAAACACCCATCATCCTTCTTTCTCATGTTGGCAAGGTTAGTTCATATAAACCATACTAGGAAACATTCATGTGATAGTCTTCACAAGCACAAGAGTGATCATTGATGTCGATTAATTCATTGTATACATTTAATTCAATTAATCTAATACTTTCCAATATGTCACCTGGTTTTGTTCAAATACTAAAAGTCTTGGAAGAAATACATGCACAAACGTAATCGACATTTTCGTGATTCTAACTTTCATCGGCTTTTCCCTTCCATCTGAAAATCCAGACCTCTCCAGGTCAACAGTTTCAGTCTATTTTAATTATGTTCGTGATTGTATCATGGGGACTAAGGTTCTTCCTGGACGAGGAGAATGTGGGGCGAAATGAGCCTCTGTTTTCAGCATCCAGTCCCCAGCAAAGTCCTCCACCACCTGCTGCTTCCTACACGCCGAAACTCCAGCTCCAGCTAGCTCTCCTGGTGAGAAGGGAGAAAACTGGGAGGGAGGGGAAGAAGGTTGGTGAGAGCAAGAGGCGGAGAGTGAGGAATGGGAGGCAGGAGGAGGCGGGGCCGGCTCTGGGCCGTCGGGATAAATACTGAGAACTGGGTGCGGGGTTAGAGAGAGAACTCCGAAGAACGCCTGAGCCCAGCAGCACCGCGGACAGCGCCCGGCAGCGCCCGCGCCCAGGTTCCTCCGCAGCTCTCCCTGGCGCACAAGCTGAGGTTTCGCTCACCCGGCTCTCGCACCGACACACACGCACACACAACAACACACATTCACACACGCGGACACGCACCCTGCTATACAATGGCAGAATCCCACCTGCAATCATCTCTGATCACAGCCTCACAGTTTTTCGAGATCTGGCTTCATTTCGACGCTGACGGTGATTATCTTCTATCGTTTTTAACTGTTTCAGGACCCCTTTCCATGCCCCTTCCCATGCTTTGGCCTCCCCTGAGCCTCCGGGTCCCAGTATTCTGCTTTGTATTCTTCACTTCTTTTCCCCTCTACCTCATCTTATCTCCCCGACAGGCTGCTGAACCGTCAACCTGAAAGTTTATATTGCTTCCATGTAACCCCAAACCTTAAACTTTTTGTCTTTCCAGGAACGGTAGTGGTAGAAGGAGAGAAACAGAGCAGGAATGGGGAGACCCTTCCCCCCAAAGTTTCTATGGCTGCGCTCAGCGCCCCAACCATCCTCCTTTGTCCTCAGTGGACCTAAAGTTTGTCAGTCCAGGAGGGGAGCGCTGCCGCATCTGCACCCCTTGCCGGTTAATAAATATCCAGGCAAGATTGAGCCTCCCAGGTCGCCAGAAAGATAGCCGTCCCGGAAAGGGAACAGGGAAGACACGGAAAGGAGCGCTCTGACGCTGGGATGCCTCTTTGTCTTTGCAGGAAGCGGTTACCTGGAAGGGAAGGAGCTGCAGAACTTGATCCAGGAGCTCCTGCAGGCGCGAAAGAAAGCCGGACTGGTAGGTTCGAATTTATGAAGGAGGAAAAAGACCTTCGATCCTAAAGTACAAATATTCTTGTGTTTTCATAAAAATCCAGCTAGGTTAAGCGCTTTCTGGGGATTGCAAACGTTTATTGGCTGAGAAAGGCAAGAAAGAACACCTTTCAAAGTTGCATAGGGAGAAAGGAGAAGAAGAGAGAGGAGGGAGGAAGAGGGAAGGAGAACGCGGGAGAGAAAGAAAGGAGAGAGAGAGAGAGAGAGAGAGATGGATTTTTCTAATAGGAAAAACCTTACGATCTGAAATTGGAGCTTCAAAAACGTATATTCCAGCCTTGTATTTGCCTTAATAGCTCCTAAAAGGAAAGGGTAGTTGCGTGAGATTCTTTGATGGGTCACCACATTTACCACTGAGCCGGTTAGATCATTTCTAACTTCTCTTTTACTGCGTGAGAAGTAAGGGGGTAGAAATACATTTCTGCCCCTTGGTGGTCAGGAAACAGATCTGCAGACTGTGGATCTCTCAAGCTATGGCCAGTTATTATTGTTGTGATGTTAGTGTAGTCACGGAGATGAGAGAATGTCTTGTCTTGACCCTCCTCACTGGGGGAAAGTTGGCCTACTTGCAGCAGAATAGTGAGCAAGAATTTAGCAAGGAAAGGTCTTCCTTTTGCTGAAAAGAGAAACCCAAAAGTTAGAAAAGTAGAACAATTTTAAGAATTTCCTCACCGTAAAAAAGAAGAGAGAGATTCTCGAATGGGAAGGAATTAATGGTGTGTTGAAAATGAGCTGTTTGTGATTTAAGCCATCAGTTATTTAAATAAATGAAATTTTTATTAATTATAAATGAATTCCATTGAGCATAAATTAATTTTGTGAGAAAAGATATTGTTAGCATAAAAATAAAATATACCCAGATTCTAAACATAGATGAGCTGGTTGTATAAAGGAAAGAGAATTCGGATTTTTACTACTCGATGGAGGTTTATGTAAGATGTCTTTCAGGAGGCAATGTTGGACTAGTCAGTTGTTAATGGTCTTTGGCCTTTTTGACGATGGATAGAAAGAGATTTTACATTACTGATGATGTACCTAGCATCTGTATATATCATATAGCAAGGATATACTATTCTCTCTAGTATTGACTGATATGTATAAAATTTAATAATAGAATAATCTTTTTTCTACCTAAGTCAACAATTGTGCAATATGTATATCTAAACCTCGTATTCAGAAGAATCTCAGAGGGCTCTAAATGTATTATAATGCATTAGAGAAGCATTGGTTGCTAAAATCATTGGCCAATTGATTTCAAACTAGAATGCATTCTAGGAATTCTTTTATCCATAATTAATATTATATAAATCTAAAATTATAATAGAATAGAATCAAATAACATAAAAATATGTTATATACCATCCAACCTCCTTCTATCTTTTATATTGTCATGTAAATAAATTTTATGCAACACTATAATTATAGCTATATAGATCATTGGCTAATAAAAAAGAAGCATTTCACTTCTTCATTAAAAACATCTGGTTGAAAAAATCTTACTTCTTATAACATTTAGAAATAAAACTTCAGAAGATGCTTCCACCAGCCAAATGACTATATTTTAATTTTTTTCAGAAGTAATTTTAATATTGAAATTTATTTTCATTTTAGAAATTCATATTCTTGAGCGTTATACATTTTTCTAGAGTTTTCTTTTCCTCCTCCTATTTTAACTATCTGACCTTTTTATAAACAATGCCTTCGGGTTAGACTTTTTAGAGTTTAGAGGTTACTTTTTTTAACCTAGGCTTCAGTTTTAGAACATTTGATTATATTCAGAGTATTAGATTATAACCTCAAAATACTAAGTTTGAGCACAGGAAAAAGATTCTATCAAGTCACTTAATACTTTGATTCTTCCATATTTTTCTGGATTATTTATATAGGCTTTGGATAGTTAAAATCTAAATTAAGTTCTGAATTGGGAAGTTCATAGGCTAGACGCATGTTTCACTATCCTACCAACCTCATTGTAGTAAACCTACTTTCAAATATTTCTTTGCTTTTTTGGAACACAAAGATTGATCTTCTAAACCAAAGCTTCTTTGCATTTCTGGGCATACGAGAACATATTTCATTGCATTAATAGAAACATAGGTTAGCTTTTCATATTAATAATGTAAAATTTCAAAATTTTCACTAAATTAAGATGACATGAATGAACTATAACACCCCAGTGTATTTTCAGAAACTATTCTTTTACATTAAATATAGTATTTAGTCTTAAAATTTGCATTCATCTTTATAAGCCCTTCATTGATAATGATGATGACAATGATGATTATAGTTACGCACTGTTTAAAAAACAGATTTTGACATAATTGTCACCCAGAAATTTCACAGACTAAATGTCAAATCTTCTATGGTATTGCAATGGTGTTGCACAGTTTTAAGATTGAAGAATAAAGTCTTTTATTGTTTGTATGCAATAAGGTATGTGTAAAAATTACAGAAACTGACATTCTCACTATTGCCATAGGGTGAACACTTTCATTTTTTTACAATCATAAATCTAATAAATACAAATTGCAATTTATCCATAATAGAAAAGCTTATTTTTTTATTTCTGGTTAATTTGAGGGTACAAATTAGGTTACAAAGTTTGCATTTATTAGGTATAGTCCCTGTTGTAGCTGTGTCCCTAGTAGAAAAGTTTTTTAAAGAGTAAAATATAATTAAATTGTTTTGTTACTATTATTTCTATTAAAGATATTTACACTGGCTCCAAGAGGAATTTGTAAATACTACTAGAAATGGTATTTAGCCTCAATGTAGCCCTTAAATTATGTTAACCTATCTATCCCTAGAGCAGACTGTGTGGTAGATAATACCACCACATTCATAGTTATGATAAATATTGAGACCTTAATTTGCTTTCCCAAGGACAGAGAATAGGACATTAGAAAGGGCTGACCTATTTTAAGTAGGCTTCAGTTAATTCAACAGGGCAATTAAAAATGGGCTATGTTGGATACCCAAGGGTAAAAATTAAACTTCCTGAATACTAGCTCTGTGTTAAGATCACTAGTTTATAGTTCATACCTCTCTAATCTGTTTAATTTTAAAATTTGTTCAATTAATAAATGCCCTTTCCATACTGGAAACATTATTTGCTTGTAAAGTGAGTAAGCCTCTAACAGTCACATTTTTTTGTTTGTTCAAACTGAAAACACACATCACTACCTTCCATGGAGAAACAACATTGTGTTAGAAAAAAAAATGTATAGGACAAAACAGTGTAGCAATGTAAAACAATGTTTACTGAAGCAAGCAATTTTCAAAGTATATTAACAATGATTGTTATGTTTAAATTGACTAAAGGTTATTAAATGAATGATCCTGAATATATTTTTCAAAGGGTAGCATATTCTCAAAACTAATAATAGAAGATAAATCACAGCAATTGACTTAGAAGTGATAATCATAATTATAACTCTCACATTTGGAACTAATAAGTTCTAAGAAATAATTTTCATGAGAATAGTTAATCAGTATGCGTAATTCCAAATGGATACATTTTGGGTTTTCTTGGCAGTAAGTTATTATCACAAGCATAATTGGATACTTTTGTAGGAACTTCCTAACTGCTTTTATGTAATTTTAGGAGTTATCACCTGAGATGAAAACTTTTGTGGATCAATATGGCCAAAGAGATGATGGAAAAATAGGAATTGTAGAGGTAAGGAACTTATGCATTTTTCTGATTAATTTTAATAAATGAGTGTCAGTTTTGAATCTGTGCCACGTCAAACATGTTATAGCAAGACCCATAAGGAGAGTCTTATTTTACCTTAGTAATATATTATCTTCTGTTCAGACATATAAGGTCCAAAAAAAAAAAAAAAAAAGTGTAAAATGAAAGAGACCTAAGAGTTTGCCTAATCCAGAGCCCCAGTTTAATACGTTGCAAAATTGAGACCCTGGAGAAATGAAATGGTTTGCCTCTGGTCATGCAGCTGCTGGGTGGCACAGGTGCAGTTAGGAGAACAAGTCCCCGACTTCCGGATGGGCATCCATCACAGTACATTACCCAGCTCACTTCCAAAAAGTGTCCAACTACACGAGTCACCAGAATTTCTCATCATTTAACAGCATAGACTCTTCTAAGATAGAAAATGAGAATATTTACAGTTCCTATGAAATACTTGCAGCTGTAATATTTCATAGAAAAAAGCTGCATCCTGGTTTCTGAAATTCTATTTTAGATTGACAATTAGCCTTAGTACAAACACGTAGATTTAACCATAATGAGTATATTATGATGTGTTATAGGTGCAATTTTAACTTTGAGACTTTCTCTTGAGTCTCTGAAAGTTAAAATTGTGGGTGTCAGATCTTATCTTTTAACAATGACTTTTCCCATGAAGGATAACTTATTTTTGTCCATGAATCGAAGAAGTAAAATTTTGATTATTCATCAGTTCCTCTAAATTTGTGAAAGTGCTCTTTCTTCCCTTACTTCTATGTTTTTAGATGCTAGTGTCTCAGTTTCTTCTTCTTTTTTTTAATCTTTGCCACCTATTAGAGACATTGGGTGGAAGACTTTGTCAAGAAAAATTAACAAAGTCACGTTTTAAAATATAACAAATCACAAGCATAATAACGTTCTTCATATAATCTTAGTGTTTTAGATTGTAGAGTACTCTGGCTCTTAAAAGCATTTAGTCATAACTTACCTTTGATCCAGGTTACTAACCTGGTTTTCAAATAATGGATCTTATAGGGCACCTGTGATGCCAAGCTGAAATACACTTATTTTTAAACAGCTACTACCAATAAAGGGAGGACATACTATTATTATCTTCAGTCCTCATAATTAAAAGTTTTCCCTAGAGTGTACACTTTCCCCTTTACCTCTGTGTAACTCATTACTATATAAATAGACAATAGAAATGGGACTTCCATGCTGACATAGAGGCCAACTAATCAAGACATGAAATCATCAAGGATAAGAACATAAATAACTCTTAAATGAACATGAATGAGATGGAGTAAATTTAATTATTCAAAACTAGTTTGAAAATCTGACATAAGTGAAATCATAGATTGGGTGTGTCAGAGTTTGGCATACTTTATCATCCTAATAAAGGAAAGACCGTCACATTAAACTTACTTGGAGGGACTCCAATGGGCTCAGCTGTTTATTCCGTTTCATTTCTTCAATGATACTAGATTATGCAATAAACAGCATTGATCTGCTTCACATTTGTTTAAATGGATTCTCATGTGTTGAATTCAGGTTTTGCTATATGTGATGTAGCCTAATCATTGATGGCTTATTATTTAAGGTCTAATTTGAATGAGAGGTTAGAGGTCACTTAGCAGATGCATTGTCTTGGAAATATGATGAAAGAAATTTCCCCAGAATTTTGAGATAAGAAACTATTACAGGAAAAAAGCAAAGCAAAACAAACAAACCAGGGAAAAAAAGCACAATCTTCTGTGCAGGGAAAAATAAGAAATATAAGTAACAGAAGAGAGTGAAGAAGGTAATGAAGGCTGAAATGAAGAACTGAGGAACTTTTATAGAAATAAGACAAAAAATAATTTAAGTTTGTTTAGCATTATACACTTTATAAAGTATTTTCTCTTTCAATCCTCATAACAGCAAAGTTAAGTTAGTCTAAATATAAAGTGAGAATCTATTTTGTGGTTGAGAAATCTGAAGCTTCAGTAGATTTTACCTAAGGTCAAAGCAAAAGAAATAAATGATAGAACAGCTGGAACCCAGCCGTGTTCCCCTAAACTGTTCTACCTGCTTTTTTTAATAATAAATAATATGCACATTTTCTGCATTAAAAGGAAAGCTTTTCAAGCTTCAATTGGTTGATTACTTATGGCAAGGTTCTAAGTTTAGCCAGTTTAAATAGGGATGCACAAAGTACTGGGGGATAAAGAAGTTATTGGGCCAAAGCACTTAAAACATGATTTGAGCAGAATTTTTCAGATCAGCTGAAGCAGAAAGAGTTTAAAGAGAGAAAAGTGAGACACATAAAAACAGATTAGAAGGTTTTAGTGTTCCAGGATATGGAACTTTTTGCTAAATGGGACCCTTGGGAAGAACTAGCCAAAATTCCTCACTTAAAGGATGAAGAAACTGAAGTACAGAAAAGTTGAAAGATGTGTCCAATGTGTCCCACAGCCACTATTAGGGAATGAAAAAACCTATATAGAGACCTAGATCTGACTTTGATTCCAGGACCCTTTTCCTTAACCGGAGTCATCAGCCAAGATATATTAACAGAAGCAAGGGAGGTGGGACAGGGGATTAGTTAAGAGAGAATCTGAGCATAGGTGAGCAGGGAGGAGGTTACTTCAGTAGCTGATATGCCTGTTTATTCAGGCTATGGTGGTTAAGTAAGCATGGAAAAAAGGCAGGTTCTGAAAATCATTGGAAAATAGAAATTGAAAGTTCTATATTACCTGTAGAAAATGGGGAAATAGAGACTAGGGAATGGTTGAATTTATCATGTGCCCTCTAGTGTCATGAGGAAGTTGTACAAAATAAAGTTTATCCTTTGTTTTTCCAACTTGACGTAGGATATCACTTGCTTAAAACTATAATATATAATATGAGACACAAATACACAAATCCTAGCTATCTACGAAGGAACACCAAACCCCATGTGTTTCAAAAGGTATAATCCTCTACGTACTAAAGTCAAGCACACCTTAATGTTGGTGTGCCAAGGGCAAAGAGGTTGGATTTGCCTAAATATTATGTTCACTTAAAAGTTGTACTCCTGGACTCATCAAAACTAATCAAAGTAAAGCAAATTATATTCATGCAGTGGTCTGCTTCCCTGATGGAACAGGTCACATTGGTTTGCGTCTGAAACATATTATTCAAAACCTCAGAAAACATAGTGATTCATTTTCAAAGGGTGGACCTGATGAAGTTGAGGGACACTTTGCAACAACAAGCATTTGCTACCTAGACACACGTAAAAGGAGGCTAATGGGCAAATTTGCTTTCTTCTTCACTTTCTGATTTCAGGTCTTTAAATATATTTTAAAATTCACACAAACGCAGTTTAGTAATAAAGAGATTGTTAATATGAACTCAAAACAGGAACATCAAGATTCGGAGATAATTGAACAAATAGCGTGACAGTCAAAAAATGTGGTAAATGTATTCAGACTAATAGCTCTATCACACAGCAGGCTGACTAAAATAAGTAAAAAGGGGGAGTGAATAATTTAGCAGGTGATGGAACTTTCCTCCTAGGTGCCCACATGAAGTCTAGCGAGTTCCATGAGCCATATGTCCACCGTACACGTTTTGTACACGATCCCTTGGGCAATGTGTGGGAACCAACCATCCTCTCCGGCCTTATTGTTTCTATCTGTTCAGGTCAGTGCATCCACTGAAAAACAGATCTAAAAGCTATTTTATTCCCCCAACGGTGACAACCCTCCCAGGGAAGAAAGCCCTTCCGAGCCTTTCCCCCTGTTCTTCCACAGAGGGATTTGAGCATGTGAGGTTGGCCAGGGGGAATATAATTTTTCACAGCAGACTACTTTTTCCCCTTAGAATTTGGAGAAATGACTGACAATGAAATCTGATTTAAAAATTCACTCTAGATGGACATTTTAAATGATCTATTAGGACAACTTTTTCTGATTAAAGATTTTAATAAAGGGCAAGGAAGGTAAGGGACAGAGTCTCAAAACCTAGAGAATCAGGCCGCCTGCCTTCAAATCTGGCTCAGACCGCAAGCTATGTGAGAACAAACCATTTGCCTTCTCTGAGCCTCTGTTTCTTTGGCTATGAACAGGAATGACAACGTTTGAATTTCATAAAGTTGTTATGAGTATCGACACCGGATAGGATAACATATGCCAAACAAATAGACCAACACTGTCACACCATAAACAATAAATGTGTTTGCTATTATTGTTAATCACAGAAATTAACTTACTGGAAAATCTGCATCATTTTTCTGAATGCCAAGCCTTTTTTATGCCACTTCTTATATATTGTAATGTGTCGAATTCCAATTACTAAATTTTTGAGATTGTTTGCCTTCCCAATGTCCTGGACTTAACTTCTCATTGGTTAGGGAAAATGTTGCTCAGGTTCTCAAATGAAAAAAGTGAATTATTGGCTAATACATGTTCAAGAATGTTAACATGCACTGTGGTTGTCTTTAACAGTTAAAAATTCAGCTTGGCGCCTGTGGCTCAAGTGGCTAAGGCACCAGCCACATACACCTAGGGTGGCGGGTTCGAATGCAGCCCAGGCCTGCCAAAAATAACAATGACGGCTGCAACTAAAAAATGGCCGGGCGTTGTAACGGGTGCCTGTGGTCCCAGCTACTTGGGAGGCTGAGGCAGGAGACTCACTTGGGCCCAGGAGTTGGTGGTTGCTGTGAGCTGTGACGCCACAGCACTCAACCCAGGGGGACAGCTTGAGGTTCTGTCTCAAAAAAAAAAAAAAAGTTAAAAATTCCATCTCATGCACAATTTTAAGTATCCATCTCAATCATTTACATCTACAGTGGAGTGGCCTTTCATATATACTCTCCTCACACCTAACACTCAGCTTTATTGTTAATCTATTCACAGCTTTGAAAAGTGTCAGGGAAAAAATATGTTTGAAATTATCTGCCTCCTTGTAAGTTTCTCACAGGTGATGACTATGAATTTCCTGTAACTAGTACATTGCCTGGTGTTTAGTAGTCAAATGAGCCATGACAATAGATTTCAACCTACTCCAAAACAGATGGCAAGGGCTCTATAAAATATGCTAGAAGTAGAAAAGAGATGGAAAGACCTTGCAATGGGTTGAGTTCCCCAGGAAGCAGATTTGAGTGGAGGAGTAGCAGTGAGAAGGTCTATTAGGACGTGCTTGCGAGATCAATACGAGTGGAAGGAAAGTGAAGAGAATAGAACTGGGCTGTGATACAGTCTCAACAGGGACTTGAACTGACTGGTTAGTGAGCTCCGCAGCTGGGACCACCCTACACAGACATCCCAAGCTTTGAGTGAGAGGGCTGAGCCTTCTTTTCCCTGTGTGAAATCAGGGATGAGATCCAGCCTTCTTGGGGATACAATCCTCAGCCCCAGTGATCTCTTAGATAGGGCCTGACAGCTGAGGCTGCAGTAGCATTCCCAGAACTTGAAGGGAGCCCTGGAGAGCAGATCACAATGTCCACTCTCTATTCATGGCTCAGGAATATGTTATTTGAATGATCTTCTACTTATTTGTGACTCTATACTGACTTCAGAAGAATAGTCCATTGCCTTCATTGTTTCAATGATTTATTTACTAAAGTTTTTGCAATTACTGGACAAAGAAACAATAATTAAGATACAGACAGACTTTATCCTCAAGGAGAACAGAACCTACTGGGGGAGGCAGGCAAGTAGCCACCCCCACTTTTGGTGACAAGCAACCAAATCCTTACGTGAAGCTCCAAGGGATTCTGCTGTGGCCACAACTATCTGCCCTCTTTTTGGCACTCTTCATTCTCTCCTCTGTAAAAACGTTTTGGGAGTTCATAAAAGAGCAGTCAGCCCAAAGACTAAGGAATCACCAATAATTTTGCAAGAAGAAGTACCAGACAGCAGTGACATGGTAAATGTGAGAATAAATTCTTGGGTTGAAGCTCTAAAAATGACTTGAGGCACACAGTTGCTTCTCCCTCCAGCAAAGACCCTTTCTGGCCCCTCTCCAACCCTACTTAGCACCTTCCACAAAAGATCTTTAGCATTGCAAACATGGTTTAGAAGCTCCAGCTGGAGAATCACTTTGCCTAGCTCTGAAATTTAAATATTGATTCATATGCTTTGGCAGAAAAACCCACAGGCAACACAGGACCACCACACTGTGAAATGCACTTTAAGACAGAGTTATGTTCACTGTAGCCACATCCTATCCACATATATTCATTGCTTTTCTTAATGGTTAGTTTGCCTTATAATAATCTTTTACATGTTTAAGACTCATTTCTAACATTGGTAAAACAGAGGGAACGCTGTATTGAATGTAACATGTACAGTTCAATAAAGTTAGAACCCATTGAATACATTGCACATAGATACATATTTTTTTAACAATTGCAGTAAGTAGAAGAACAAAACAGCATGGGCAAGAAATAGTCATTTACCGTAGATGTGAAGAACAGTTTTTCCATTTTTCTGTTGGACATTCTATACCTATGAATTTTCTGTGAATTACATGAACTTTAATTTATGAAACAAAGATGCTTGAACATCCCCTAATTTTACATTTAATCATTGCTTACTAGCTCATTCTTATATTTTTTTCTGTTTTTATGCATTCAGTAGACTTAGAGAAGGACAACTTTCTTAAGTTATATGTTTTGCTCAAAACAACATAGATGAGTTATAAACATTCAAGCAAATAGAAAATCATAAAGAGATAGTAAAAAATACTCACTATAAGCTATGTGAAGTAGGTATTTTAAATGAAGTAAAATTATCAGCCAATCCACAAGCATCCATTTCAGATATGTAACACGGTGGACACCATGCCAGACATTCAGGGGATGTAAGAAAGAAATAGTCTCTGTTTTCTTGAAATGAATGGTCTAGAAAAAGGTCCACAGAAAACTTAAGTAGTATCTGAAAAGTTACATGCCAATAAATATGGGGAAAGTTTGTATTGCTATTTTTTTCCCCAAATGAATGCTTATGTTAATGCCCAACCATGATGTAATGTGGCCCGACATCTCATATCACACAGAACTTTCCAAAATGTAAATACTTAACATCCAATTCCATTGGCCAATCTATTTCTTAAAATGTCTGCCTCTGACACCTCTTCTCCCTCTTTGAAATATACGCATTTCATTGTCTTTGTTCCCTCTCCCCTTCTGGGTTTTTGTTTCTAAATAAATAAGAAAATGTTTTCTGGGCTCGGCGCCTGTGGCTCAACCGGCTAAGGCGCCAGCCACGTACACCTGAGGTGGCGGGTTCGAATCCCCAGCCTGGACCCGCCAAACAACAATGACGGCTGCAACCAAAAAATAGCCTGGCGTTGTGGC